AAAAAAAAAATAAAAATAAAGAGGGATCTAGACAACAAAAATTAAAGAAATAAAGAAAAAAACCACTTTGACATATGCCTTTGTAAGACAAAACACGTTTAGAACAAAGATGTTATACCTCGCGGCCAACAAAAGGGGAGGTATTGACTGAAAATGACATTTTCACTGTAGGTTCTTCAACCTTGATTGCAGGTAATGGTTTTCCCTCGCTTTTGTCAGCGATAGTCTCTCCAATCTAAATTTACAAAACAAAAAGGAAAAGATCAGTAATTCATAAAAGGTTAGGCTTGCATCATATGTTTGCATTTATCCCAAATGACAAGTAATGTATGTAAACCAACCAACATCAAGGTATCTAGTAATATCATACCTGAATATCATCAATACCACACACAGCACAGATATCTCCAGCTTCAACAGTTTCTGCAGGAACTCTACTGAATTTTTCATACACAAATAGCTCACTTACTCTGCCGAATCTGCATTCATCTTCTGTTGTACATATCTGAAAACATTAAACAGAAGAGTAAAAGGCTATTGTATAACTCGGCGAGAAAAGAAATTGACAACTTTGTAGAGGGGATTTTATATTTTGCAGATCTGGAGTTCTGTTTCTTCTACCAGCACTATCTTTGTGCTGCTGATCTTAATGAAATGTTAACATTCTCAAAAAAACAAAAAACAAAAAGAAATTGACAACTGAAAACACACTTTTCAGACATAGATAGGACTAGCATGTATATCAAGTTTCATAAAACAATTGAAATTTCATAATGTTATCATCCCAAAAGGTTTGATAAGCTAATAAGGCAAGCAACTGTCATAGTTACTTTTGGTCGACACTTCTATACGAGGTCCTAAGATGAACCATTAATCTCTGGTATAGTGGAATGATATATCAATCAAAGCATAAGATTAGAGATGAATATTCCTAGCCTTTGAAATTCTCATCCTAGATTTGACAATTATAGGTGAGAGAATGGATGGAGACTCGTGACTTGCCTTCGGATAGTGACGAAGATTAGTTTGTCATTTGTCATTTCAACTGCTGATGCTCCTAATTTTAGCAGCTATAATATTAATGCACCTAGCATAGGACATAACATCTATCAAGTAAAACAAAGACTTCCTTTTACGCATGTTTTCTAAGCATATTAATATAGGAGGAAATAAATGTCTTATCATAAGTGTGTATACCTCAATCTTACACTCATAATATTATGCCAATATTAACCCTCAGGGGTTGGCCTGGTGGCAATTGACTTGAGCCTTGGGGTTTGCTCCCTTTCAAGGTCTCAAGTTCGAAACCCACTGGGTGCAAACAATTTCTGAGGGCCATCGGACTGGGTAAAACCTGAATTAACCGTGGTGCACTTGCGGGAAACTCCTTGCCGAGGGCCTGTGCACCCCCGAGATTAGTCGGGGCTCAAAGAGACTTGGACACCCGGTGCAAATCAAAAAAAAAATATTATGCCAATATTATGAATTTCAAAGCCTATTTTTTCCCACGAAGAAAAAGCCAATATTATGAAACTCCAAGTGGAAATTCAGCAACTAGCTAAAGCAGAAGAAGTATCTTGGAGACAAAAATCTCGATGCTTGTGGCTCAAAGAAGGGGATAGAAACACCAAATTCTTTCATAAGGTGGCCAATTCCAACAGAAGAACTAATTGTATTGATAGATTCAAAGTTGGGGATGACATCACTGAAGATCAAGATCTAATTAGGGGTGAGATTTTAGAATTTTATCAACAACTCTACACTGAGAATGAAAGCTGGAGACCTACTACAAGACTGGAAGATGTAGCAACATTAAATGGGGAAGAGAAAGTATGGCTGGAAAGGCCATTTGAAGAGGCAGAGGTTTTGGCTGTAATTAAGAATTGTGCACCTGATAAATCTCCTGGTCCGGACGGATACACTATGGCATTCTATCAGAAAGCATGGGAGGTGATCAAGGACGATATCATGGGAGCCCTTCAGCACTTTCACCAGAATGGCAACCTAGTTAGATCATGCAATGCCACTTTTATAGCACTGATCCCGAAGAAGAAAGGAGCCACTGAGCTGAGAGATTACAGGCCAATTAGTTTGATTGGTAGTGTTTACAAAATTGTCTCCAAATTCTTAGCAGAAAGGTTAAAAGGGGTGATAGGAAAATTGGTGTCTAGTCATCAAAATGCTTTCATAAAAAATAGGCAGATCACAGATGCAACTCTTATAGCTAATGAGATATTGGATTGGAAGATGAAGTCTGGGCAACCTGATCTACTTTTCAAACTTGACATAGAAAAGGCATTTGATCAACTTAATTGTACCTACCACAGGTCTTATACCTCAATCTTACACCCATGATCTTTGAAGCTATCTCGGGCCTACACATGAACATGTTGAAGAGCATCATCTACCCAGTCAATTCAGTTCCAAACTTGGAAGAGCTTGCGGAAGTAATGTGTTGTAAGGTGGGCTCTTTCCCTACAACATATATGGGTCTTCCTCTGGGAGCTAGATACAAAGCTCTAGGTATCTGGAATGGGGTAATTGAAAAATTTGAAAAAAAGTTGGCTTCTTGGAAAATGCAGTATCTTTCTTTGGGTGGCAGAATTACACTCATCAATAGTGTGTTGGATAGCATTCCTACCTACTTCTTGTCCCTGTTTCCA